AAAAAAAAAAAAAAAAAAAACAAACATCCAAAAAATAAATCCCTAGATCCCACCATCCTCGATCCCTCACTCGCTCCCTCGCTCCCTCGCTCCCTCCCTCTCCCTCCCTAGCTCCCTCCCTCCCTCCCTCCCTCCCTCCCTCCCTCCCTCCCTCCCTCCCTCCTCGCTCCCTCCTCGCTCCCTCCTCGCTCGCTCGCACCCTCCCAAGCACACCATCATAACTTCCCCCTCCTACTCCTGCCTCTCCTCCTCCTGCCTCTCCTCCTCCCTTCGTTCCCCTTCCCTTCCCCATTGTCGCTTTTCAAAGTTGCTACAAATCCTTCCCGCCATTTCGCCACTATAACCCCACCCCATCTTCGATCAATTCTTTTGTGTCGATGACAGGGTAGGGGTTGTATGTGGTCTTGTTTCGGGAGCACCAGGAGTAAGAGCAGGAGCAGGAGAAGGAGCAGGAGCAGGAGCAGGAGCAGGAGCAGGAGCAGGAGCAGGAGCAGGAGCAGGAGCAGGAGCAGGAGCAGGAGCAGGAGCCAGGAGGAGGAGCAGCAGCAGGAGGAGGAGCAGGGGAAGGGGCAGGGGCAACGAGTAGTGGGTCCATGGGCATCAATTTCATTATCATCATTTGCTATCCCACACCCATCCTCATGTTCCGAGGATGTTTCTGAACTCTACATACCGCTGATGACCATAGCAGGACTTGAGCTGGTGGAAGGACCACAGAATGCACTGCAGTTCGCAGGTGTGCCAGGGCTTCGACACGAACCTCAACTTGAGCATCAGGTCCCGGTAGCCAGCAGTCTGCCACGAGGCATGGTCCGGGTCGAGCCTGTTCTTGACCCTGACGATCTGAATGTCGGGGTCCTGTTGCAGAAGGCGAAGACAGGTTACGAGCGCCTCTACGTCGTGGAAGATGATGGACTGCCGAGCGACGTCAGTGAGCTTGTAGACGTCGCCCGAGTACGTCCGGACGATCTTCTCCACTGACCTCCTCCTGCTCTTCAGCGATGCCCACTTGACCCAGAACAACTCCAACGAGCTCTGGTGGTGGATCTTCATGTAGTGTATGCCCCCGTCCACTATCTGAACAGGCAGCATCCCTCCCGACCCCGACGCGACTTGTACCACCTTGCTCCTCAGCAGCGGAAGCACCTCACGAGCAGCATCATAGAGGTCATCGAGGTTGACCTCAAGCTTCTTGCTTGTCTGAAAGTCTCTCTTGGAGTACTGTAAGTAGTCCCCTTCGATCGTCTCCTGCACAGCATCCACCGACTCCAGCAGCTGCAGGATCTGCTCCTTGCTGTTGGCAGCGACAGCCTCCCACACCTCGTCGTAGGCTTGTTTGTCCTTGAGAACCAGGGAGTGGGCTTGAAAGGAAATCGCGACTCGGTAACAGATAACGTACACCGGAAACACCAGGATCACAATCCCGTACAAGCCAAGGCTGATAGCGGGCGAAAGAAATCCTCGGTGATGGTATCCCGCCAGGACGATTGCAGTCAGAGTCAACATAACACCTGTGTTCACAAGGGAGGCCAACAGCTCCTCACGCTTGACCTTAGCCAGGAAGCACACTGTGAACACACCATTGGCAAGGAGCATCGCGTGATAAGTGATGCTCTTGTCTCCGTTGGGTGGAGGCAGCGAAAGTTCTACACCAAGCAACAAGCATGTCACTGCAAACCTCGACATCCCGAAGAACTTCATGATTTTCTTGCCCCAAAGCTCTCTTCCAAGCATTCCACAGAACGCCACTGTTGTCATAGAAATCCCTGTGATCAAGGGATGCAGCATATGCAGGTACTGCAGGCAGCTGGGCTTGTTGCTGAACTCGTGCAATCCAACCTCCGTAGACCTAGGACTGAACCGCCCATGGAAGTAGATATGCCTTGAAGCATACGTCATGTAGGACGACGAGCCAACAACTTTCCATCTCATCTCCGTTGCATCGTGATCTTCAAGGTAGAATCTTACTGGAAACTTCGTCCCCCTTGTGTGGTTCAGCATCCAAGAATTCCATCTTCGGCTTTCGCGGCATTCAATGATCAATGAGTTCTCTTGTTGATGGTTGACACAACCATCCATCACCGGTCTCCCCTCCAACAGCAACAACACGCCGTTCACATTGGTCACGGCTGCGCATGCTTCACCCTCCAGTTCAATGACAGTAAACCGCAATCTTCGGCTGTTCTCAATGCCATGGCTGGTCGAGTGCAAGTAGTCTTGTACGGTCTCCTTCCAGGCGAGAAATGCGATCACCAGAAAGAATGCTTGGACGCTCGCTCTGGTCAGGGAGGTAACGATGGGTTGCGAGGAGTAGAACAATGACGGGTAGCTTGCGTTGATCACAGCGTCTTTCACTTCATAGAGCTGCTTGTTCACGCTATCATTCAATTGCTTCTCTAACTCAACACTGTTCTGATAGAATCCATTCCTCAGAACCGAGCTCCTTCTTCTGCGGATGTAAATGCTGGACGCCATCGGGTTGTTTGTATCCTGAATTTCATGATCTCGGTTCGTGTTAGATGGCAAAGAGGCTGAATTTTGGTGAGATATGATCGTTTGACGCCTGAGTGTGTTGGCATAAGGCGCAGGGAAGTTTGAAGAAGTCATGACCAGTTTTCTGACTTGACGTGTTGCAATCAACCCTTTCTGTCTGTTCGGCTCCGTAATTGTTTCTTGCTCTCTCTGTCCATCGATGAAGAATATGTTGAGCTTACCGTTCTCCTTCCTTTCGTCAGCGTCTTCTTCCGTTCCCTACTTTCCCCCCCTCCTCTCCCCCCTCTCTCCTTCCCTCCCACCTGCTCTGTCTGCACTGATGTCCACTCCCTCTCTCAGCTCCCCCTCTCCTCTGACCTCCTCTCCTCTCTCTCCCTCTCTCTCTCCCTCTCCATCCTCATCCCCTGCCTGCCCTGGCCAGGCATTCCCCCAGGGTCCCATGACAGTGTACCCCTCCCTTCTCATCCCTATCCCCACCACCCCTGGTATCTTACGACTGCTCGGAATCGGTAGGGGTCCAATACTAGGTCAAAAGGGGGGTACCTTGATGATCCAGGGTTCTTGTGAAGTTGACTGAAAAGCTATTTACTCAAAGTTAAGTTAAAAATCAGTACGACTCAAGAGTTTACCGGGCCTCCGGCCCGGAGCCCGGGTCATGCCAGACACTAGATGGGATCATATGAAGCCACCTCCTGCTCCTGCTCCTGCTCCTGCTCCTGCTCCCGCTCCCGCTCCCGCTCCTGCTCCCGCTCCTGCTCCTGCTCCTGCTCCTGACCCTGACCCTGCTCCTGCT